ACTTAATATCCCAATGCACTTCAAAAAGTGTTACACCCTGTACAATAATTCTAGGGTAGACCGAACGGTTATTCATATTATTATCATACTATTTACGGCATTTGTAAATAAAACACAAATTTAACGTTTTATTGCTATTAATTAGTATTCTCGCTCGAACCGCTTATTAAAATACTTAAGTCCGCCCGCCCGTCTGTTAATTATATAATTAACAGCATAATATTATACGACACTCTAGAAACATATATATATATATATATTTACACTACACCTTATAATTAAAAGTTTTAATAAAAAAACCGCTCGTTAACTTTTTTAACTAGTACACAAAAACACAAAACGCCCGTAAGGCTGTTACCTTTGTCGTTGGTGAAATAAGATTTTCAACGGAGAAACGGCTGATATTATAATATATTAGAAAACGGTCCGACGTTTGGACGACGCTTAAAAAATTTAACGAATTTTAATACCGAGTAAACTTTACGCCGGTGAAACTTTGCCGGTGCTTATGAGAAAAATAAACTAACTAACTAACTGCTCAGGTTTTTCACACACACACACATTTCAAGAAAACGGCGTAAAACTTGTGCGAGCATAAAGTTTTTTCATTATTATAATTTGTGTCCCACGCGATTTCAACTACTGCGGTAGTGTTTTTTATTTTTTATTTTCTCATAGTTTTTTAAATAAGACCAATACACAGACATCGGTTATTTCTACTTGTGTTGGCCAGTCCTAGAAAGAATTATGAACTTTCGTTGCGTACATTTTTCTTATTTTTTTTTTAAAAACAAAAAAAAACATACGGAATGAAAGTTATACAACGAAAACAAACATCGCGATATTTACCTGTGACTTTTGTTCGCAGAAGAAAGAAAAGACAAAACCCGTTTAGTTGAAACGTTGTTTTTTGCGGTTGTCCGAGAAATCGATTCGACAAGAATTCCAAATATAATATTATGTTATGTATTCCGATTCCGCGGAAAGTCAATTAGCATAAAATATTAATAATAAAAAAAAATATGCATGAAATTTCGTGCAAAAAACAAGCTCTGGCGGTTTTATTTAGTTTTGTTATTTTCATTCTCACGGTTTGAATATTTTGAACCTTGACCTCGGTCGATGGTCTAACTGAAATTGTTAATAGAGTTTCTCATAGTTCACACCGTGGCGATTATATGTTTAACTCTTCCAGCATCGACTGGATAATACCTAGATAGGATATAGTATTATTATTTTATAAAAAGGAGACAGGAATTCGAAATTAAATCAAAACCACTCCGACCGGCGTTATAACCGTGTTAATAGCTACTTTTACCTAGCCTACATCGTAAGTAGTTAAATATTTATTAACCAAACTTAATAATAATAGTCATAAGTTTTCACTCGAAGCAAACTGATGGGCCTAAAAATTATAATATAAAAAATGTCTTAAACAGGTACAACGATCTCTTCTCTTCCTTATTATCCATTTTACAAGTAAGGATTCCCACCACACCTTCCACGTGTGCTGCTCCCATGAATCCATTTACACTTGCAACGTGGCCAAACCGTTTCATTAAATTCTCTCTTGTTTATCATTATTCTAATTAGGTTTTAACATTTTCCACTCATCCCTCTCGTTATTTCTCCCAATTTTTTCAAACCTACACCATTTCTGACTATTTTCTTTCACCTTAAATCATACCGCCTATTGGTTCTTAACTCTTCCAACCACACTAATAATTCTACTTGCCAATTGTATTGAATTTCTCTATTCTCTTGAATAATCTATCTCGTGACTTAATTTGCACTGCTCTTTTTACCAGTCGCTATTAAAAATATTACGAATGACGGTATATTATTCGTTTTTTTTAATATAATTTAATTAAAAGTAAAATATGAAAAATTGTATTCGTTTATTTGCCGAGAAAATGTTATAGGTTAAAGCGAAATTCGTTCAAGTAAAATCCAACCGGTTACAACAAGCGTGATGTGTTATGAACTCGAACACAGTACACTTGCCGGTTCTCTTCGAATAAATCAACCGGTCGGTCGTGACCGAACATAATATAGATACAATAATAATTATTTACAAGGATTAGTATTATTATACTCTTCAAAAATAATAATTGTTCACGTGGGCGTACGCCGAGAAAGAGCAACTAACGGTTATACATTTTACTGACCGTTTTCCCGTCGTTTCCAGCGTACACTTTACAGAGTTTATCGGATATCGATGTACGGCTTTAAAAACAATAATAACTTATAATAAACCTATATAAGATATATAGGTCGTTTAGTGTAATTAACCTAACCGTTGTCTACCATTTAATGTGTCGAGATAGCGTCCGATATTGTGTTATATCTTTTTCCCCTCCCAATACTTATATAGTATTATACCTTCTCTCGGATACCGTCTGGACGGCTACTACTACGATGGGTAAAAGTAATATGAATTTTAAAAAGGTGTAATATACAGCTAGACGTGAGATAATTAACGTTGAAGGGCAATGAATGAATAAAAAAAAATAGAATATTTTTTAATAATTAGTGCTACATTTATTAACATAGATATGTTATTGGGTTGGATACAAGAAATTTAATATCGTCATTTTCGCGTTACACTTTCATTTTCAGTAAGAGATAATATTCCACTATTAAATGTTTATGGAGCGGAGAAAATAACTAGGTTTTTTTTTAAATTTTATTTCAATAAATCTTTGTTTGGTATAGGCATTTTTTTGCAAAATCTTAATTTAAAGCTTAAACTGTAATGTGTAATTATTGGGTTAGTTATGAGAATTTTTTTTAAGAAAGTTTTCGGATTATCGCAGCATCTTTGTCATGTGTTTAAAATAGTTTTTTCATCTAAACATAGTATTCTAATTGTAAAACACGGCTTACTGGATGATTTTAGAAGAGAAAACCTTATTATAAAAGTTTTAGGTGAGAACTTTTTCTATGTTTTGTTGGAAACCAATTTTCGATAGTTGGTTCGGAGACGGAACAATATGGCATAAAGAGGAAAGGGCATAGTTTTAATTATTAAAATGTATACATCTTAAAATTAAAATGTTCCAACAGAGCACAGTTAAAGTTCTCATTATTGAAACAATTTTAATCATTTTTATCCCTGCTGCGTGCATTGTAGATTTTTCATAGCATTGGAAATACAAAAGTACTATTTTGGGTATTATTTGGTAGCGTCCCCTTAAGAGTGTATTTCCGGTCGAAATAGTAGTGTTATTATTATTATTTTTTATTAATGGGAACGTAATACGCAATAGGTCGTCGTGTGTGTGTGTGTACATCGATAGTAAACGTCGGTGTGTGAGTGGGAAGTCGTCGAGCCCACCACCGGTTCTCTCAATGAACTTTATTGGCGGCGACCGCGACGATCATTCGTGTGGGATCCGCGTGAATGGACGGTGCAGTGTTACCGCGGTTTATAAAACATGTGCCATAGTGAGTGAGTAGAGTGTATGTGTGTGTGTCATTTGCACGATGATAACCAAAACCCAAAAGCCGAAAAGGCCTTTAAGCGGTCTCAGCTTCAGCGTACTCGGTAACGTACAAAAATTGCCAAATTAGTGTTCTCTTTTTAATTAATGCCAGATGACGAATTTCCATTAATCGATCAGATGTGTTCAGTGCTGTTAGCGTTCATTCGGGTTTTCTTAGTCTTTTTTTCGTCCTTAAGTCGAGTATTGATTTAGCGTTTACGTGATAATAGTAACTACTATTGGAATTAATATTCCAAATGATTAAACAGCTAACGTGCATCGTCGCTGTTATGCTGTTTGCCAACGTCGGCGAACTGTACTTACTCAAACAGACAGTTAAAGTGGTGAAATTCGACGTGTGCGTTGTCGACCGCTTTCGGTGGTTTTGCGTTTAACCGCATTAGCGACAAACGGAAGAAAAGCTCTTTCGATTCGGATCCTTAATTGTCGATTGAAGTTAAAGCACTTGTTGTACTACCGAACCGCCAAACGCTATTTCCAACAGCAAAGTTTACCGGGACCGTCGTGTGTATTATTTAAACAAGCGTTTGTTTCCAGTTGGTAATGAGATTACTGCGCTTTCCCCCAAAACGCCGGCAATATTATATATTATTTTTTGTACCAATTTCTCGCTATTGCATACACTTAGACATCACGTGTACTATGGCTTTCGTTTAAAAGTAAATATCTATACACAATATCGCAGTTAAGCGACTTTCATTTGCGTTATTCTTGTTAAATTTGTTGAATTCATACGACTGAAGTAAAATCACACTCCCTCGGTCTGCACAGGCGTTGGCGGCTGAAAGAGCTGCGGGTTGATGAGACCGGGAGTGTGACTTGGAAGAAAGTAGTTGATTTGATGTTCCGAAATGTATTATTGTAGCCACCTAACCTGGTCGGGATGACCGGTAGCATCGAATCCGTCGAGGAGACTTCCTTCCTACGCGTCGATGACTAACACCAGCTATATAGGTAAAGCGTGGGAACTGTAAGGCCGTTTTGGCCGCGGTAAAAGTGCACCCGAAAATTTCCGGCCGCGATTGTCGGATCGTCTCTACCGCGTGTATCTTAACAGCTAATAAACCATGCGATTTGGAAATTTAACAAGTCACCTGGTACGCGACAGACAGTCAGACGGTACCGACGCCCACGTAGGGATTGGATTCGCGTCGACCCGCCACCAAAACCGGTAAAACATAGTAAAAACCGGATTTACAGTCAATCGGCGCAGTCTCCGCCGCTGTTGTGAATGGACCCGCCGTCTCGTTGTTATTATTGTCGTTTTCACCTGCTCCTCTAACCTTGTGCGCATTACATTACACTATTTTACCCACCCTACGCCGCAATCCAACCTAAACACAGGTATCTGGGAGAGCTAATACCTCACAGCCTTCCTGCGTTCCCGTCCCTGTCTAGGTCAACCCTTTAAACGATGATTATTATTATTAAACAATAATTTGCGCCTCCGCGGTGTACACCTCTAACTAAAGCCTTTTGTTTTCTCTTTTGCAGATTTGGCGGCCATAAGAAAGCTACTGGAAGAAGGCGATGCCGACGAGACGTGCCCGAGCTGTGGCATGCCGTTCGACAAAGGCAAAAAAAGAAAACTGATAGATTCTTGCGGCCACGAACGGTGTTATTCGTGCATGTTCCGGAACGAAGGATGTCCGTTGTGCGTCAACGACGACGACAGCAAAGGTAAGGAATACCCGTATTATTCTTTATATTGGCCCACACGTGTTAACTCCCTAGGACGTAGACGGCTGCCGAAAATTAAATATTACTGTACACGTTTAAATATGGGCCTATCGAAAATCAACAATCCCTTCTCGGCCACTGGCTAGGAATAATAAAATAGGTTCGATCCCAGTTTTCCTCGATTTACCTGATTCATTACTCACTGGGGACTAATGATATAATACACAAACAAAAATGAACAAAACTGACATTTTAATACTCTCTCCCTCAAGACGGGAAAAAACATAAACCTTCGTAGACAATTCAAGAATTTATAGCCATTTAATTATATTTTATAAAAATATCCCTTTAGTTTCCCATAAATTTATTTGGTTTTTAAAAATATTATAAAATTTAGTTGATAAAAAAAAATTCAAAGCGCTGTCTGAAAAAACATAATTTATGTTTTCATACATTCATATTCCATACTCGCTCAGTTGTTTTACAATAGTTATCCTTATGGCGCACATGTTTAATTGAAGTGGGTTTTTTTTTACCGGCGTTCTGCCACAATGGTTAGGCTAAGGTTTTTAATCTGACGTCACTGGAACGTTAGCTTCCCACGGTTGTGCCACCAGACGGCATTTCCTCTGGTCAAAGGAAGTCAAAAACATATTATATTGACTAAAAAAATGTATTTAAAAAAAAAAAAACACTTAAAAACCTACATGCGTGGCGAGGGAAATTGTAGTATTTAATACATGTAACGCGCAAACCTGTTTTCTAACATTTCCCAGTAAAATTTCTATACGTTCAATAACGAGTGTGTGTGTCTGTGTTTTTTTTTTTGCAGTGACTAAAAAGTTGTCAGTGGACGAACCAGCTTACGTGCAAACTACAAGAACCACAAGATCAAGGGTCAAGACGAATGGACATTTTTCTCCTTACGTCCAGGTAATACTATTCACTCGACCGCGCTTCCTGGTACTTATCCAGCTACAACGGTCTGTTATTATTGTTATTTTTTTAATATAGTCCAGACAAGGTTCCCAGGAGCTAAGTCATTCGCCCAGCCGACTTCCTATACCCAACAGAATGTTGGAGACCAACGACGTGATGACTCAAAGTAGGATTTTGATCAATCCGCTTAACAAAAAAACATTGGCCACTCACGCAACATGACTAAACAATTATTTTTTAATCAGGTTGTCCGACTCCCCCGCAGAGTAGGAGACGTTTTTTCCTCAATCCCAAGACGATAAAAAACCAATGGTCTATGCGCAGCGGATCCCGGTCGCCTTCCGACAACGCGCTTTCCGGTAAGTTAACATCAAATCAATCGATTAATTAACAATGTTTATCATTCGGCTGATATACAGCACGTTTATACAATTCAGTAATGTCAGCGTCAACGTCGACGGTAACTGATCAACGGAGATGGTCTTCGGTGGTGTTGGGCAAGATTAAATCTTTGTGGTCGCTAAGAGGTTTGTTAGGACGTTTGCAAAAAAAAAAAAAAATAATAATGCGTGATGTGTTCCTTAATAGTGTGTACACTGTGTGTGAGCCTCTTAATAGCACAAACAACTTTTTTTTAATACACCGTCGTGAAGTAGTATTGCAGTAAATTTTGTTTTGCAATTAAATTAACACTATTTTTTTATTTGACGTGAAGGTCAAAACTATTATTATTTGACAACAGTTACTGCGGTCACTCGTTTTGCTAACGAAACACTATTATTTATTTTATTTATTTAATCTTGAATATTTAACTTCTAAATTACTATGTGTTTTTTTTAAAAATGCATGCTTGTAAACCGCATGGACAGCCGAGTAAATCTTTTGAGCACCAACCAGCCTGTGTTTTATTATGATATTTCGGTGTATGAACGATTTATGTTTGCACAATACAAATTAAGTGTAACGGTTTATAATAATTATAAACCGTATTTCAGATGACGAAGGAGGCACCATCAAGCCGAGGGGATCGCTAAGCCAAAGGAGTTGTAATTCGGATACACTGTACACCAGGTTGGGATTACTGTTGTCGAGGGACAACAACTCGAGGTCTTTTACCGAGGACGTTTCTTTGGAGAACATCAATAATTCTAAGCCCGTTTCGAGCAATGGAAGCCCCGTGTCTACGCTGACGGGCTCTTCGGAGACTGATACACATAAAGCGGCAAAAGAACAATCTTCGGACAGCATTGGATCTCTCATGTCCATGTCCGGACAGAGTAACGGATCTGCCAGTCCTCTGACCCGAAGGCATTCCGTCACCAGTAAGTAGCGTTCGCTGTGTAAATTAAAGCTTAAAAGTAGTGTTGTATAAAACGCAAATTAAGCTAAAATAAATAATCCCAATTAACGAAAAGCGTTATCCATGTTTGGATTACAGTCGTTATAAAAATTGTGGGATACATTTGCTTAAGCTTTTTTTTTTTTCACTAACATCGAATTGTCGTGTTTGTCTTTGTGAATTTAGCGTTACAAGCAGGCTCTGTAGATGATTTGAGTTCGTTTAAGTCGAGACGGCAGTCGACCAGGCGGTCTGCTAGGTCCGGAACTATTAAAGGACCTATAGATCCCAAAGGTAGGGTTACTACTTCAGTCACAATCACAACCATATTATAATACTATTTGAAAAAGATGTTCACGAAAGCAACGTTGCTTGTATTTTCAGTGAGGTTCGCTCAGTATAGAGTGTCTCCGCAACAGCAACAGCAGCAGCAACAACAACAACTGGTGCTGAAGCCTCTGTTTTTCGAGGTACCCCAACAAGAATGTGACCCGATATTCTTGGGAAGAGAATGGCTGGTTCAAGACATCAACAACACGCTTCACTCGGAATCGGCCGGTGTCGCAGTAACCGGACTTCCCGGCACGGGTAAAACGGCACTAGTCCTACAACTGGTCGAGCACAGCTGCTTCGGCCGTTCGAAATCGAACCGTAAGTGTAGCGAATAAAATATATTGATCGATTCCGCATGCAATAACTGTACTCTTGACATCCGCGTTTCTCCTGTGTGTTTAGTCGATGCCCCCACGGTGAACGGGAAAGACAGGCCGTTAACCGCGTCCCAGTGCGGAGGAGTATCCGAGGACGTGAAGTCCCTGGCATCACGAGTAGTCGCCTATCACTTTTGTCAGGCCGACAACAACAGCACTTGTTTGATACCGGAATTCGTGCACTCGGTGGCGGCTCAACTGTGCCAGGCTCCTCAGCTGAACATGTACAGGGAACACGTGCTCACCGAACTCAACTTGCAGGTAAGATACGCGGGTCAAATGCGTGTCCCGCATGCTCTCGGACGTTCTATCCTTATGTATTAACCTTGTGCAAATATAATATTATTTTCTAACCTAATCTTCAGGACTCTTTGTCGATGCGCGAGTGCATAGTGGATCCGGACGCGGCGTTCACCAGAGGTATTTTAGAACCTCTAAACACGTTAAGTAGGCTGACCAACACCATAGGGGCCGACAGTTTGGTAATCGTCATCGATGGACTGTGCGAAGCGGAATACCATCGACCCGACCACGGTGACACGATCGCCTCGTTCCTGATAAAACATTTACCCAAATTTCCGGCTTGGCTCAAAGTGATCGCAACTTTAAGGACAAATCTGGAGGACGCCTTGCCGCCGTTGCCTTTCACGAAAATCAGGTAAGCACCGTCCGACACGTCTTGAGCTTTTGTACACGATTGACCTTTTTTATTGATCGCCGCTTTTCGTTTCTGCAGCGTGGATGTAAATTCGTCGACCAGAGAAAACGTGATCAAAGACTTAATGGAATACATCGGCTATCGGGTGACCAACAGCGCTTGTATCCAGAACAATTTAATTTCTGGCACACCGGGACAGTACAAATTTTGTCAGCATTTGCAAGCCAGTTGCTTCGGATCGTTTCTTTTTGCCAAACTAACGTTGGACCTATTCGAAAGAGGGCATCTCGTAGCCAAATCCCAGAGCTTTAAAGTCTTGCCCGTTACGCTTGCCCAAATATATCAACTACATTTCAATTTAAGGTTTCCCACTACTAGTTCTTTTGAGAAAGTCTCGGACATTTTGAGCGTGTGCCTCGCTGCACTGTACCCCTTAACGATTTTAGAAATATATTATTCGGTAAACGCATTGCACGTCGACGAATTCGTCTCGTGGGAAGCTTTCCTACAAAGATTTAAAGTAAGTACCTTTACTTCAAAAATAAAATAAAAATGTCATGCCGTTTTGACTTGATGTTAAATTCTTTAATATTTGTTTAGTTGCTATCCGGTTTACTTGTGAAACGCTTGGACAATACATACATGTTCTTCCATCCTTCGTTCAGAGAATGGCTGATCAGACGCGACGACAGCGAGTCTAAGAAATTTCTGTGCGATTTGAGGTTTGTATTTTTATTTTTTTTTAATTTTATTTATGCGAATTATAAAAAAAAACTATTAATTTGATACTGTAGAAACGGACACGCCGGCATTGCCCTGCGGTTTTCAAGACTCCAAGCGCCGCTAGACAGCGAAAAAACCTTAGAACTCGGCCACCATATATTAAAAGCCCATGTGTATAAGAATATGTCACTACACGACACTTCGTCTAGAGATCTCCAAGCCAACTGGATGGCATCGGTTTCGGACAGCGTTTCGTCGGCACTGTGTTCAATGAGGAACATTTATGCGCCAAACGTTAAAGTTTCGAGGCTATTGTTGCTCTCTGGAGCTTCACCGGACGTGATAACTGATTTATTAGGACAAGCGCCCGCCTTATGCGTCTACGCCCACGAAGGCGTTTACGATATGGTGGCATTGTTGTTGGAATTCGGCGCTGCATTGAACGTATCCAACAGCCAAGGCAGAACCCCTTTGTGGATGGCTGCTAGCAGGGGTCATATAGACGTCGTTAAACTGTTGATAGAAGCCGGCGCGTCACCTGGTCTAACGGATTCTGCTAGGAGGTAATTTTGAAAAAAATATATTATTGGCTATTTGACATTTGAGAGGACTTTTCTGTAAACTTGTACTATTGGTCATGGTCATAGGTGTCCCTTGGTGGAAGCGGCCAAAAATAGCCACTTCAACGTAGTAGCTTTCCTATTGGGCTGCGAGTGGAAAGTGACGAATCCAAGAGTAGAAATCGACCATATCGATGCCTCTCAGCAAGCCTTGGTTCAAGCGGCCGGCCAAGGAGTGGACGAAATCGTCGAATACTTGTTGGACGTTGCCGAAGTTGTAGTCGACGGGCAAGACAGTCTGTCAGGTGAAACCGCTTTAACTCTGGCCGCTTCTAATGGACGCAGATCGACGGTTTCCTTGTTGCTCAGCAGGGGAGCCCAAGTAGCATCGCCGAACGTAAAGGTTAGAGGTCTACTTGTACATCGTACTAGGATAGAAAACAAAATATATGATACTAATTATTTAACACGCGCAGAGCATGAACGCACTGGTGCTGGCAGCTCGGGACGGTCAATGGGAAGTGGTGGAGACGTTATTACTTAACGGAATCTCAGCCGATCTTGTAGATTCGGAACAAAGAACACCACTAATGATGGCTGCATCAGAAGACCATTCTAGTATCGTTGAACTTCTTCTCGACAACGGTAAGATTTATTACACCTCTGCCTTATTCATTTACCGTAAAAGTGTATACAATAAAAAAATAATAATGAATGTAGTACCATCTCGACGACACAATAAACATAATGAATAATGACTAATGGATTACTGACAAAAGTAGACAGGTTAAATATTATTCGAGTTACATCTCTATAGAGTACGAGTAGATTCCCCCTAAACGTGTAATAGTAATAATAATAATCAAAATAGTTGTTCGGATAAATTTGTCTTCAAGCGTTTAACTTGAATTAATTTAAAAACTAATATTCTAAGTTTCTTTCGCAGGTGCTAACTTGAGTTCCCAAGACCGTCTAGGGCAAACCCCTTTGAGTTGGGCTTGTCTTAAAGGTAGAGTAGCCGTCGCTCAGTATTTGTTGGATCGCGGGGCACCGCTTGACCACGCAGATAAGTCGGGGAAGACGGCCTTGGACTTGGCTACTCTAAACGGAAATCCGGCACTAGTACAGGTAAGTCTCACGATAGCACAATGACAGCACTGAATAAATTACTAATAAATAAACACGACAACATTTTTCAGCTTTTATTGGAGAGGGGAGCGTTAATAGAACACGCTGATTTATACGGAATGCGACCTTTGGACAGAGCAATCAGCTGCAGGAACATCCCGGTGGTACAAAACTTTTTGAGGAGAGGTGCCAAGCTAGGCCCGACAACGTGGAACATGGCTTCGGGAAAACCGGATATAATGTAATTATCTTGTAACTATATTGCGTCTGCTATATTGGACGACGAAATTGGCAACGAAAGGCTTTTAGTTTAAACTCACTTCGCTGTAAAATTCAGGATTGCGTACCAATTGAGTTCTTTATTGATGTGGAGAAAAATGAATTTACCAATAATTTGACCAACCACACACCTTAGACACTGCCAATTTCATAATCTACAAAACCGTCGTTAGGTTTAAGTGGAAAAACTCTTATTTTACAATTATAATTTAAGAAAATATTTAACATTGAAATAATGGCATTTATGTAGGGCGTGATTGTGAGTTCTCACTCAAGACGTAAGGACACCCTAATTCTGTCTCTACTCGCCTCCAGTTTTTATTTATTCATTTAACGATTGTTGTTGATTGGTTGTTTTGTACGGTTATCGTTACAGGTTAGTTCTGTTAAACAAATTGCTGGAAGACGGCAACACGTTGTACAGGAAAGGCAGACTGAAAGAAGCTGCGTACAGATACACTTACGCTCTGAACAAGTTCCCTGCGGATAACGAACTAGACTCGACGTTCAAGCAGCTCCAGATTAACTTCTATCTGAACACGTCCCGATGCAAGAGAAAGCTGGGCGTAAGTACATCCTCGCAGGAATTTTCGATAAACGGGACACGCCGTAGTTAACATTTTTCAAATCGTTACAGGAAGTTACCGAGGCGGTAGAGTTTGCGGAAAAAGTAATGCAATTAAGACCCACGTCGTACGAAGCGTACTACGCCAAGGCAAAAGCTCTGAAAGACTTGAGGTGAGTATCGTCGACCGAACGAATAGCACGGTAAACGTACATACAATAAGGTTAGGTTAGGTTTCTAAGCTTCTGTTACCTACCCCCAAACTCCCCTTATAGGCATCCTACGTGCATTTGAGCTTTATTACTTGTTTCTTATCCATTTTTGTTGTGTTTCCAACAGGAGATTCGAAGACGCTCTGGCCGACATACAAGAAGCCATACGGCTGGTTCCGCCCGGCAACTCCGACATAAGACACGTTTTGTTCAGACTTAAAGACGACATCGCCAACAGGTTGGCCCTAGACCAGGCTGCTTACAACAGGGAAATGGCCGGCCCGTCGTACCTTTGAATGTTCCTAACGACATAGACAATTCGATACCTAGTTTTATATATCAAACGATCAACTGTTAAGAAGTGTTTTGCATCTTACTAACGGTGGAGACTAACGTTGATTGACTCAGAAATAGATTTATTGTTGACATTTTCATACTTTAACAACGGCAACGAAAAACTCCACTGTAATTAATTTATTAATATATTATATTATTTATTGACGTAGTTCAATGTTCCTGTTTTTTTTTTGTTGTTTAACTAATTTTATAATGTGATGTTTAAAATATATTCAAATTGACAAAATATTATTGTCTTTTTATAGACAAAAGATATTATTATATTTTGTTTTCTCTACTAATTCTATGAACTGTAATTCACGTGCAATCATGTTACTAATTTGTATTGATTTACCTAGCTCGTTTTTTTTTATTTGTCGGTTGAATAAAATATTATTTACCTACCTATTTAGTTTAGTTAGATGTTATATTATTTTATGAACGTTTTTTTTTTTATAATATAGTTTGTTTTTAAATAAATATTATAATTAATGTTTTTTTTATATATATTAAAATTATTAATTATAATAAAATCGTTAGGTAATTATAAACAATGGACTACAAAATCATTTCATAATATTAATATCAAAATCACGTTCTTTTTTTTTATATATATTTTATATATATTTATATTTTTCTTATAAGTTGGTTGGTAAATAGTTGTATGCAGTATTGGACCAAATACAGTAAAAAAAGTTACACACACACAAAACATATTGTAAGCTTAGTACCTTTACAGCTTCACATTAATGCTTAAAATCCACGAATATCATTTCCAAGCATTAGCCTAAAATGTATTTAACTTAATATACCTACTTGTATGTGTACTCGTTGAATACCAAAAGATTTAAAATATGTAGTATGTGTTTTGGGGGAAAATGTAATTTTTTGTTATTTAAATATTTAAAGGATATGTAAATAAGAAATAATTTTAAAGTATATAATTTATTAGCATTGCAGAAATTGAAACTAGCACTGCGCCCTATGTGATAACTTTTGAACTTCACGAGAATGTAAGTTTCGCCACAGTGAGTCTCTATACCCATTAATTTGTTATTGCCCTTAAACAAATAATTTATAATGTTTAGTAATAATGATGAGCAGTTTAATAAAGATAGTTGAATAATTAACGGTTATCAGTGACAATAGCTAGTGTTTATTTTTTATAAATGTCGCAACATATCTTATGAGTTATGATATGAAAACTTTAAACTTAAAAAAGCTAATAAACTGCTAAATATATTGCTTGTTCATAAATGCATGTACACATAAACAGGATTTATTTTTAATTTATCACTTGGGGAATTACTGAATATTTATGCTTATGACAATATTTTTGGGTTACAATTATATTTATTTCATACAAATTATTAGTTAAGTACTTATAATTTAAATTAGAGTATGTATATTAGGCTGTGTTAACATTTTTTTTTATTTTGTGATGTACGAGTACCACGATAAAAAAAAGTTCAGAAAACAAATATTTAGAGATCGTGCAATTTGAATGTTTTCTGTATAAATACTATTATAAAAATGATACATTTCATTTAATTGGTATTCACTTTGTCAATTTTATAGCTATATCAATTAAAGTAGAGCTATTTTAAGCGTATGAAGCCTTAAACCCACTGTAAACAGTGAAGAGCTAAAAATAGTTTTGAATGCATAAGACTATATACTTTATATTATTTATAATCAATAATATTAATACTATAATATAGAAGACGCAAAATAAAACTTAGAAGATAAGCAAGTGTACATACACTTACCACGAGGTCATTTCCGAGGTGACAGATTAATAATAATATGACATGAAAAAATTGTTACAATTTGATCATTCATTAATTAAATTTCAACAATTAATTAGTACTTCAAATAGGTAGGTTACAAAGAAACTCTAGAAGATTCGGCTGTAAACCAACTTATAAGTTATCTATATTTACAAATAAATATATCTAATCTTTTAAATCCAAAAATAAATAATATTTTATACCTGTAGATGTATTAAAATTCAATACTAGAAACTTGTAATTTTTAAAATCGAATTCCAACAAAACAGTTTATAATTTATAGCTCTGCTGCGTGCATGGTAGACTTCTCATAGCATTGGAAATACAAATGTACTATTTTGGCGTTATTATTTTAGGTATGTCGTCACCTAAACAGTGCGCTACCCAGACGATTTCTAAATAGTAAAGTATAGGCAATTTTTCGAAAACCTTAGATTAGAGTTTGAACTATAATGTATACTTATTCATACAGTAATGAGGATACTTTGATGATTGTCTTTTTTTTTTGTCAGACTATCACAGTCATTTTTATAGGATAAATTACTGGTGGGTAGCGTCCTCTTAAGGGCATAGGCATCTTGAAGATAAATACATTTTGTAATAACGAAAACGGCGACCGGTTAGGAAATGAAAATCTAACGCTTTCCGCTGTGGTCGCTACATAACAACATTATGTGTTATTTTATTTTTTCATTTTCATGAAAACGTTTGCAATTTTCCACGAACACTGTGTACAACATTAAGCTGCGTTCAATAAAAGCCCCCCCAAAGAGTTTAAACCACTCGGGCGTCTCATAAAAACGGACTGGCTATAGACCAGTCTAGGAAAACAAACCCAAAAAGTATATAAAAATGAGAAAACGACAAGACGAATGTCATTGCTCTCGAATGAATAAAATAAAAAAAAACAATAATTTTGTCAGATTTTAATCTAAAGCTTGAAATGTAAAAGCACAAAAATGTTTTACAAGACTTTTTTACGGTCGATAAACCAAGTAAATAAATTGAGATTGTTGTGTCGTTTATTATTATTACTATTTTTTATTTAGTAAACATATAGTAATATGTGAAAAATGTTATCATGTTAAAATGTCTTACAAGCGGAAAAGGTGAAGTTTTTTAAACAGCAGACGAATTTATCTATTACCTGCAAGTCTTGGTGTTCTGTCGGGTCTTAAATATATATATACATATAAATCGACTAGGTGCTAATGTCCGTGTTTTTGCATTAACTTATCAAAGTCAATTATTAGTCAATATAGCTATGACTTCATGAGGCCTGATGTTTTTAGCATCACCTATTACATACTAGACGTCATAGTTCCTTTGAACGTTGTTTATCTCACCTTTGACATAATGACGAAGGTCGTGAAAATTATATTTTATTATATTGATAAGTTCATTTTTACCGTTTTTAAGACTTGTGCGTCAGACGTAAAGGTTTTAACATAATATCTTTAGCAATACCAACTTGGTCGTGTGGCTAATATTCTATTAGAATAATATGAAAAAAGTAATCAATATCGTGTATTGAATTGTAAAATATTTCAACGATAAAACCGTCTTAAAACAAGTTTGTGACAATTCGTTCGAATAAGTAACAATAAAATAATATTGTTAACATGACCTGGCTTATTGTAGTTGTACAGTATACAAGGCTTAATAACTTAATAACATTATAGAAAAATGTTTCCAATATAATTTTAAAAATCATTAAATAAATTTCAATATTAAAAAACAATGGATTCGTTTTGTGCAGTGCAAACAGTTTAAATGGTTGTCCCCAAAGAACTTTCAAACAATAAATAACAATAATAAAACATATATAATCCTCGGATCAGTGGTGCAGTAAACTCTTAAGATTATTATCGTTAAATCGCATTAATGAAATAAGATTATCCAATTGTTACCCGCCAACGATGTACAGGTAAACAGGTAAATCAATAAAAGTATTAAGTATAGAATTATTTCTAACAAAATAACCCTAACACCGGTTTATTGGTGTATAAAAACTTTTCAGCGAGGATAATACGTTGTTTGTGAAATTAATTTTTATTATGGGTACAATATATAGATTATATATTGTAGATATAACAGGAGGTAAATTGAAAATGGGAGATCCGTCATTGGCAACAAATAACGTTGTAAAATTCACCCATGGATTAGATATATTTTTTTGTACTCCAACTCTTTATCAAGTTGAAAACTAATCCGGATGTGTCGTTTCATTTAAATGTATGTAGAAAAACATTACTGCGTACCATTGATTTCACTGTAATAATATACAGGCCATTTGTTAGTAAGAAAAGGCAGCTAGCACACAAATTCAAGAGTGGTGCGTATAAGGAGAACAATGCGGTGATGTACCCGGTTAAGAAGCCAGACTTACTTCACTTTGTATATTGCAAAACCAATGGCTGTCCACATAAGTAATTAAAATAGGACTTTGAATCCTAACAGCAGAATGTCTGTTATATTTTAGCCAAGATTGAAAATTCGTATTATTAAAATTAAAATAAATATAATAATTTAGAGTTAACGCAAATTAATTAGCTATTCCACTTGACCGCAACGTGTAGCCGATAATTGACGAAGATGATTAGTGATTACTTTAATCGTAGTTCTTTAACCATAATATTTACAAAAAAAATATTACTGGTTACACTTACAGGTAACCTTACTTTAGAGCGAGCAGATTGTCGGACAAGTCGTGTGCTTGTTATATTAAAATGGACAGGTGAAATACAATTACACATGCACATACTTAGACAGAACTAATTATTGTCCAAATAATATTATCTTGCGTTTGTTCAACCCGTCCAACTAATCGTCCTTCGTTGTTATTGAACTAAAAATCGTCTTAAAATTATTCCAACGACAGACTTGTAAAATTCCTAATTAATTCCCTTCATATATTATTCCCATATAAAAAAAATTATAATACTTCAGCTTAATCAATACAATCAAGTTATAATTTAATTTTAAAATACCGGTTTTTTAAGCATTAATTAATAATTCAATAATTCCAGCTTACATTACTTATGAACATCAGTGTAATTTATAAACAAAGAGTATTAAAACTTTATAAGATATATAAATAAAAACCAATCTAAAATTTGTTCAACTTGACTAGATTATTTTTTATCTTGATCAGTCCTTAAACACACATTATTTTTAATTATATAAATGTCTTTAACCAATTATAAAAAATTCAATTTTTTTTTGTGCAAAAACTGTCAATAATTGTAAGATTATTAAAATAACTAGTAAAATAGTATAAGTTAATTCAGTATTAATAAATGCATTTTCATTTATTCTTATACTATTCTCACGAATTAAATATAATATCAAACATATGAGCGTCATATAAAAAATTAAATATTAAATAGAACTTTTTTAATCCAAATAAAAATAAATTATTATATTTCAATATACTTCACGCCCAATACACAGGGGTACTCCATTTAATCATCAAGTTAAGTATACACAGTTAAGTTGAGAAAAAAACTAGATCTAATTGCAGCGAACCGAAACTGTACGGATTGAATTATCTTATAATACAGAAGTACATAAATTCCTCAATAACTTTACTGGTAATTCATTTG